TTTTGGAAATTTTCATAGTAAAATAACTCCGTTATTTTGGACTTATTTAAACGATAAAGAGAAAATATGTTTCTTTTATCGGGATCTACCACCCTTTAAAATACTTGCACTTATTTCTGGGACACCCTGTATAAAATAATTATTTAACTAAACAATACGTTGCGTTAGAAAGAGTTTAATGAACCTTTTTTAAAGTTCTTTTTATAAAAACAAATTTTCCTTTGTACCAACTAAATGATTTCTTTGTAACATTTCTAATAGTAATAAAATAGTTAAAGAGCATGGTCCACTTGTATAAATAATAGTAATATTGTTCTTTTTCATTTTTTCATATCTGTGAGGAAGTTAAAAGTACATAAATATACATTAAACAATCCAATTTTTCTATTTTTCATAATTATATATTTCATTATTTCAAGGAAATCTGCTGTTTTAGAGTAATTACTTAGTTAGACGAAATGTATACGAAAAATATACAGTGTGTCTTAATATTCCGTGGAGATACATACACCTACTACTTATTTTTAAAATCAAAATAAATTAATTGAACACAATTATTCACCTCTGCTTAAAAGTGCTTTGTTTGTCAGTTAGGGGGCAGCAATCAAAAATAAATGAAGAAAAAATATGAATATTATTGTCAAACATCATATGACCACGGAATTGGGATACCCTGTATATATTTCCGTTCAAAAACGTTTACATCCATTTAAGTGGTATGTTCACACGCCTTTTAGTCTGTTAGTACAATTGCTAAAATTATTCTATTAACAAAATTGTCTGTTTCACACGAAATAGTTGATAAGTCTGTTACTCAACTTTATCTTCAAAATTATTCACAGTTACTTTCCATTTAGTTACAAATTATTTATAATTTGTTTATAATTCGGTGAATCCTGATTGAATGGTGCACGTGTGATACTGTGTGATACTGTCATATCAAGAAACAGATAAGAGTTCTAAATATGTGTGCATAAAATTTAATTTAAGAAAATGATAAAACGATCATAGCAGAGTGGCTTTACTGCAGGGCGTTCATGTATAGATAATCTATTTACTATCCAACAACTGATAGAAAAACGGAATTCACGTGAAGAAGATACACATCTAGCTTTTGTAGACCTTCAAAAAGCTTACGACTCCATCCCCAGAGTTAAACTGTGGTACATACTGGAACAACTTGACGTGGATGAATGTCTCATAAATTTAATTAAGGTGCTGTACAACAACAACACAGCTCGTGTTAAGAGCGGTAAAAAACTGTCTGAGGTAATTTTTCCAACTAAAGGCCTTCGACAGGGATGTCCTCTGTCGCCTCTTTTATTTAATCTGTATTTGGAAGTGGTTCTTAGGGACTGGAAGAAGAGGTGTGGGGGAATGGGCGGCCGAAATGTAGGAGATGACTGTTTGGTTACATTGAATTTTGCCGATGATCAGGTGGTCATAGCTCAAGATGCTTACGACCTTGAATTCATGATGAGCAGGTTAAATTCGGCATACACGGAATGGGGCCTTACTGTGAACATTGATAAAATGGAATACCTAGTGACCAATTCAGATGATAAATTTGACATTTTTATTACTGACAATGCAAAGCTCAGACAGGTTGAATGGTTTAAATATTTGGGGGCACGTATAACCAGAAAGGGACTGGACAAAACAGAAGTATCTGCTAGAACAGAACAAGGGCGAAAGATTATAGGAGCACTGAACCTGACCTGGTGGAACAAAAACATAAGACCAAACACAACAGTACATATTGGAAGAGCCCTAGTGGAGTCCGTAGTAACTTATGGGTGTGAAGTTTGGACCTTAAAAGCTGTACAAAAGCGAGCTTTGAATGCACTCGAAATGGACTATTTGAGACGCAGTGCGAGAGTATCTAAACTGGACAGAGTTAGGAACGTGGAAATCAGAGCCAAAATGGATGCCACACAGACAATAGTGGATAGAGTCGAACAGAGGGGCCTTAAGTGGTTTGGATACTCGCTACGCACGGAACACCAAAGATGGCCCTACCGTATCTACAGCTGGTCACCTCCTGGAAAAAAGAAAAGAGGACGACCTAGAAGATCCTGGAATGAGGCCATCAGAAGGGCAATGGAGGACCGTAACTTGGAAGAGGAAGATGTTCTTGATCGTAACAGGTGGCGGTTAGGCGTGGGTATATATATATATATATATATATATATATATATATATATATATATATATATATATATATATATATATATATATATATATATATATATATATATATATAAAACGATCATCGTAGTTTATCTGTTTCTTCCAAAAGCAATTCGTCATAGAAGACACGCCACGTTATCCCACGACGTGGGAAAGAGTGTGTACACATGAGGTCTGCGACAGACGACACACGTGTGATAGCGTGTTATGGCGTCAGATGGCGCGACGTGGGGTGGCGTGTTGCCTAGTGTGTACGCAATACATGTAATTAAATGGAAAATCATACGCACAGATCTTCATGACGTGGGGTAGCTTGGCGTCGCGTGGCGTGGCGTGTTGGCTAATGGGCTCCCAGCATTACGCTCAAATGAAATATGTTCAATGTGAAAAAATATTAAAATTAAAGTGTGAAATTTAAATTTTGAAAGTGAAATGTGAATACAGTAGCTTAAACAATTATGCAGTAACTATACCATGTTTAATACGACTATTTTTGACCCTATATTTTATGAATTTTTTTGCTTATAATAAATAGATCTTGTTAATAAAATATGTACCGCCCTATATAGGGTGAGTCTTAAATAAGTGCAAATAGTTTTAGAGGTAGTATATTTCGACCTCAGAAACACGATTATGACTTTTTCTCGAAAAAAAATTAAAAATCATTAAAACCATACATTTTTGATACTATTGCAACATAGGTAATAGATTCAATTTGCAAGAAAGAAAACCCAGAAAAGATGCAGTGCTTCTCAAAATTTAAACAATTTTTTTGAAAATTTTCAAAGTAAAATAACTCGGTTATTTTGGACTTATTTGAAAAACGGTAAAGAGAAAATATGTTTCTTTTATCGAGATCTACCAGCCCTGAAAATATTTGCGCTTATTTAAGACTCACCCTGTATAATCTATTATTGAATGGAAAGAGCAACGTTCAAGAACTAAGTTTCGATGTGTGCAGAGATCAAAAATTAATTATCGTTTTATTGTCTCCAACTTTGAACGCAAAACTATAGATATCAGTTAACCTTTAACATGGAAGCTATAAAAACTGTTATTTTTAGAATACGCCAAAATCTATAATAAATAATAGCTATCTTTTTACGGAAGATAACGCAATGTTATCTTAATCCAAATACAAATGACGAACAACCGTCCTTGAAATGTAAAAAAAGTTTAATAAGTAACATACACCTACTATGTAAATTTTTACTTACTACCTATATAATATACTTGATACAATTAAACTTTTTGTTACGTAATCGAGGGCGCGATTTTTAAATTCATTGTTGCCAACCATGGACATATTCGGCGGTTGGTTGACTAACTGGAATTTAAATTGCGCGCTGGGGATTCAGGTGGTAGCTCTGCTATAAAAAATGTCAGGTTGCCACATTTGTTTATTTCTTGACATTGTCATTAATTTTGACACTTTAGTTTTGTATGATAATTTAAGCTTAGGGTGTATTCCGTTACTTACCGTTGCGGTCCTTCAGTTATAACTGTCATCAAACTAACCAGCGCGAGAAGGCTGGTTATTCTGGGTTTGTTTGTCAATCAATGTCATTTATGTGAGAGAAATCAGGCAAATATTGGAAGTTCGAAGATACTAATAATAAGAATAAAATTGCTGGCTATTCCTTCAATGAACATCATACTTAAAAAATACTAAGTTTTCCTTGGTAGCGGGGAATTTTTATTAAAACTGCAACAGTAAAACAAAAAAGCGGTTTTATAACCTTGGCCGAAATTCGGCTAATGAAAAAACGAATGAGATTACAAATTTATTGCATGAATACCGTGACGTCAATCAAAATTTCGGGTTCGACTGTAAAACCGTATAAGTCGCTTGTAATTGCAAATGCAAAACCAAAAATATTATTTGTATGTATTCGGCTACAGTACAGTATATTAATTAACGCTTAACAAGTTAAACTAAATATTTATTTTAGTGGTGAAAATATAAGTTAGAAACTTGCCTGTTAAAAGAATAATGTGTTTGTTATTTTCCACATGCATTTTCAACATAAACGGGGTGATTCAAATGAAATTCTGGATATGTGGTGATCTTTATAATTCAGATACCTTAAGAGATAAAGTTTCTATCACCCTGTCGGTCTGGATCAACATATTTATATCATTTACAACTAATTACCTCACTTTACTTTGTCATTTTAGTGTCAGCGTGGAGGAAATTATCATTTACCATTTATTAGCATTTGAAATTCGAAATTACCATTTATATATCAATCATTCTTGTACTGTCTGTATTTTGTGTCACATTCAATTTAATAAGTTTCTTCATTGACTTAAATATAGTAGGTATACGGTAATCGCAAAACATTTTCCGATACACGTCATCAATAATATCGAAATTGACACTAAAGCCTGCAAACCTGAATAAATTAAATTTTAGCTAAAACTGTTTAAATTTGTTGTATAATTTAAGATACCAAGCAGCTCTTCATAGAGCAAATGATTGTAACAGATATTTTATTTAGATTAAAGCTGCAAGAATTAGTTTAAAGCGATTTGTATTATCGCAATGTTGGTCATATTGCGCCGCGATCAGCAACGTTGCCGTTTATTATTTAACAATTATCGTAATGTCAGTCATTATTTTGTATATTATCGTGTTGTTGTTGAATCTTTGCGACTAGTTCTCGTTTTTTGCCGATTTTCATAGTATTTTTTTCATATTGTACTTTTAAGCACAAACAGTTCTTTTCAGAACTAAATTTTCGAAATTGTTTTGCGATTACTTTTGTACAGAGCATTTGTATATGATCTAAAAAAAATAAAGTACCTACCTCGTAGTTCCAAGTACATGACACACCGGCGAATCGTCTCACGCACCTTCCCACTTCAACGTCCTCGTGAGTGGTGTAGAGGTTTCGAAGGCACTCCTCGATGTACGGCGCTATCCTCTTCAGGGTTTCTCGGCTCATTATTATACCCGGACCACCCATACAGAAGTTCTCGTCCGAATCTGCAAAGAAGTCAAATGAAATCATCCGTTCTTTTTTACCAAGCGTCAAAGTTAAAAGCAGTGCTTTGTATAAAGTTTGTTTTCCTACTACTAAAGTGCAATTTCGTATAAACGTATTAATAATTAAGAAGTCATAACTAGTTGATTGGAAATTTATATTTAAATCCAATTTATATCATGATATGCATCTATTTTACGTTAGAAATGAATAAGAAAGGTTCTGGGTACAGTGGTACTCCCACTAGTACTATATGGCCATCAACATCTGAAGACATGGAGGACTTCTTGTAGTACATGTATAAAAATATAGTCTGGTGTCTCCTATTATGTTAGTTTTTTGTATCAATATGTGCATCTATACACTGAAAAAAAGGATCTCTCAGTCGAAATGAATATGACTTTGACCTAAAAGATTTGCCCAAAGCATTAACTATGTTTTCATAAGCTTTAAAGATTACTTTAGAGAATAGAAGAATCTATCCGTCTAAAGTATTTCACTCTTGACCCAAAATGAATATGCAAAGAAGTTCTTGCTACAAGAACAATAGTCTCTTTGATTCATGCAAAAATTCTTGAAAAGGGACATTTCTTGATTAAAGAGACACTTTTCTTAAACCAATAGCGAATACTATTGACACAACTAAAATTTATTTTGATCTAAGAGAAGTCTATACATCATATTATACAGGCATATACAGGCATATTACGAGGTATATTATTTTCTGATAAATTTAGGTTTTCCTGGGTATATAAAATGCGTATTTTCCAGTAAAGTGATATTATTTTCCTCGATAGGAGTTATTTCTGCTTCTTCACTCCTTTGTATTTTTTGGGGTGTTTCATCACTCTACAAATTACAAAAAAATGTTACATCACGATTAATCAAAGTAAAGCAAATAAATTATTAAAATTATAAGCTTTGGTCACATTTTGAATTTTTTAATACGACGACTTGAAATTCTAAAATTTTTGTAATTATTTGCATAAAAAAATCGATACCTATATTCTTATTCTATCTATAGTCACGCATGCATTATCTAAACAGGTGCATCAGGTAAATGTTTCTTACCTTCGAATATAGCAAATAAATGCTCTAATTTCCATTTTCAGAAACTCCTTTAAAGAATCCATATATCCTAAAATTTGTCAATAAAAAATGACAAATGCATGTCAACAACTATCACTAATTTGTTATACGATATGCGTTGAAAAAGCAAATTATGCAAAATTCCAAGTGGAAAATGCCAAGCAACAAAACCCGTGCGTACTATGATGTGCGACCTATGAAATGCGACGTACGACTGATGACTGATCGGACTGCAGACTGATTGTATATACCGTCCTTCGTCGTCGTCTTTGCGTGTCGTTATTATTTTTCATCAAAAGAGTATTTAGCTGTTGGAAAAATGGCCATGTTTCTTGAATTAAGTACTTCCTAGCGTATTTTTCTTATTATCTTAAAACAAAGTAACTTGCACTTGGTTGAATGAAAATTGATTCAAGAGAAATTTTCGAATTTTTCAAGAGAACCAGTTTTCTTGAGTTAAGAGAGTTTTTCTTCAGCAAAATATTTTCTTTTACGCTAAAATAAAATTCTCTTGCCACTAATTTTTTTTCAAGAACGATGACGACTTTAGTTCAAGTCTATCTTTTTTTTTCAGTGTATTTGATATCAATTAAACTTTTAGTTACGTAATTCATTGTTGCCAACCGTGGGCATATTCAGCGCCAGACTGACTAACTGGAATTTAAATTTCGCGCTGGTGATTCAGGTAATAGCTCTGCTGTAAAAAATGTCAAGTTGCCACATTTATTCATTTATTTCCAGACATTGTCATTCGTTTTGACACTTTAGTTTTGTATTACGAGTTTTTGGTTTAAATAAATAATGTTGTGACACTTTTAGCTTAAACATTTTTACTAGCAGACCTTGCAGTCGAACATTGTTTTTTTAGAACCTCTTTTAGTGCGAAGTGTACAAGATAGCTTAATAGCCGTAAAAAACTGATCGCAACTTTATTAGAATATTTTGAACGGGAAAGCGGTAGCAATGGTCCTTTATGTTCCTTAAGTGCTGTTAAGAAGGTGAGTTTTGTTGATGTAAATAATAACTGTTTATATATTTATAATTAATTTGTTTTTGTTTCTTCAAATATTTTGATTAAAAGAAAATATATGTAAACGTGACTAAAAGTTTATTTGGCATGAACTATATATTGTCAACTACATGATAATTCAGAATTATTATTAACATAACCAATAGCATACAGAGAAAAGATAAATTCTATATCTTTAACAAGAAGACATTATTTTATCATTTAACATTATGTATATTCGAAGATAAGATTTAGATTAAAATAATTCATATCCCTTGTTCCCCATTCTAACGCGTTAAGACATAGAAACTTGTTCCATGTCAGTAAAATCTTCCTTTTTTAGTCTAATATAAACGTTAATTACCATGGAATAATATAAAAAATAAGGCGGTAGTTTTCACAGATCAAAGTAGGCCACCAATCGATCAGCATTTAATGTTTTGTAGTAATTAGTACAAAATACTTTCATTAATTAATACAATATTAATTGCACACAATATATTTTGGAGTTTGAATGTGAGTAATTATTTAATGACAAGCTAATAAAATTCCATATCTGTAAGTAATGGAAGTAATGATCCGCCGGTGCTGCCACCATCGGAGAATGTCGTAAATAACTGGTATATACAAATACACGGGTCTAAATAGCAAGTTTAGGAAAAATGTATTATACAGGGTGGTCCGAACTGTATTCCGGAAACTTCGGCAGCATCAAGAACGGTAAACTAATAGGATTGCTCATCCTCATAAGACGTATGTTCGCCTCTTCCCGCGCTTCACTGACAGTTGTGACGTCATTGTAGTCCTTGTCATGATAGTGTGTATTATTGGTTGCCTATGTTAAACTAATAAATATAACAGCTGAGAAATTTTGAGGTAATTATTTTGTCGATTTTAAATGTGGAAAAGGTGTTTTTAAAGTTTTTAGAGCTATAAAGTTTATAAATACGTTCATTTTGTGTTGCGGATTGTGACTAAGTGCTTACTAAATGCCTACGATATTGTTTATTAATTATTTTAAGGCAAAATATGGAAGTACTCTAAAAAGAATGCCTGCAAAAGGTGATGATGGGAAGTGCCGTTCTTAAAAATGCATTACGTATATTTAATACGATTTAAACAGTTAATTTTCTATACTACGAGGCATGTTTTTTAAGTAAGTACCGTTTTGCGATTCCGCCGCCGCAGCGCTACGGTCGGCGTTCCGCGCATGCGCGCTGGTTACCTACATCTCTCGTCTATGCACAGACGCCAGTACAGTCTGATTCTTCATTGTATACGTTCTTTATTGTTTAAGATACCTCCGACAATCGTGAGCCCCGCCGATTGTGAAGTACGGGCTGTCATACGATTTCTTAGTGCTAAAGGCGTAAAACCGATCGATATTCATCGTGAGATCTGTGAAGTTTACGGACAAAACATTATGAGTGATGGAATGGTAAGGAAATGGGTGAGAGCATTTAAAGATGGTCGCACAAATGTGCATGATGAAGAACGGAGTGGGCGTCCTTCGGTCGTTAATGAAGATTTGGCAGAAAGTGGACGAAAAGGTGAAAGAAAACAGACGCTTTACAATTTCATCATTGTGCTACTACTTTCTCCTCAATGTTCTCGTATTGTTTTGTATCGCATTGTGACCGAGAACTTGAATTACCGGAAATTGTGTTCACGTTGGGTTCCGAAAATGTTGACGGATTTGCACAAAACCCAACGTTTAGGCAGTGCATTGACTTTCCTTGAGCAGTACCACAATGAAGGTGAAGATTTTTTTTAGACAAAATTGTTACTGGTGACGAAACATGGGTGGCCTACGTCACACCAGAATCGAAACAATAGTCCATGGAATGGCGACATTCATCATCACCCAAAACAGTGAAGTTTAAGCAAACAATTTCTGCCCGGAAAATCATGTGCACAGTTTTTGGGACAGAAAAGGAGTATTGCTAGTGGAGTTTCTGCCTCGTAATGAGACAATCAATGCAGCATCTTATTGTGAGACATTGAACAATCTGCGCCGTGCAATCCAAAACAAAGGACGTGGCAAGTTGAGTAAGGGTATTGTTTTGCTGCATGACAATGCCCGTCCACATGTGGCTAATCGGACCAAAGATCTCATCAAATCTTTTAAATGGGAAACTCTAGATCATCCTCCATACAGCCCTGATCTGGCGCCCAGTGACTACCATTTATTCCTGCACTTGAAGAAACACTTGGGCGGTCAGCGTCTTCAAGACGATAACGAAGTCAAAACAGTTGTGATACAGTGGTTAACCAGTCAGGCGGCAGAATTTTATGAGGAGGGTATTGAAAAACTCGTGCCACGTTATGACAACTGCCTCAATATTCACGGAAATTATGTAGAAAAGTAGATTAAGGTACAGGCTTTCATGTAAAAATAAAATTATTGCGATATCTTTGCACGTTTTTTTTAAATTCCAAAACGGTACTTACTTAAAAAACATGCCTCGTACATACATATAAAGGTGTTTAAATAAATAAACTAAACAATGAATGTTTTGCATACGGCAACCAATAATACACACACTATCATGACAAGGACTACAATGACGTCACAAAGCGAAGAGTTTTCGCATGCACCTGGCAGACACTTTCGGCTGAATGAGCAGTCCTATTAGGTGAACTGTTCTTGCGGCAGCATATTCTGCAGATAAAAATAAGTAAAAAAGTTCGTATAAATGTATGTCCTAAAATTAGGGTTGCCAACCGTCCTCTATTCCAGAGGACAGTCCTCTTTGATCTCACTGTCCTCTTTTTTCTCATACCCACAGGGGTATGTTTTCAATACATGAGAGAAACATCCTTCTCAGTTGCTTTTTAAGAACTTTTTGGTAACACACCGTAGCGCATAGTCACTGAATATTTCTAATTTAACATTATCTATGACTGTCTCAAAATGTCAACGGTTTAAATGGTTAAACTGATCCATTTTATTTGTGTACTTTTGGGACACACAACATTTCACAAAAAATAACGCTTTAAGTCTCCTCATAATCCCACCCGGTATACTTTACTGTTACTAGACTACGATATATTAGACCAGCCCCTGTATACTGTAAGTACAGTTAAGACGACTATCTAACTTTAAAATTTACAAACATACTAGCAATAAAAAGTTAAAACCTTCCTTGTATGTGCTACAGATATTTATTAAACTTTCATGGTACTTGAACAAAATGGAGTGTAGTTACTAAATCAAAAAGTATAATTAGTTTTTATGAAATTTTGACATAATCCATTTAGTACTATTGTAGACATAAATAAAAGGCATTTAAGATGGGTTTAATTATTATGTAAAACTGAGACGAGACCTATACATAGCAAATTAATATAAACGTTGATTTATATAACGCTTAATTGAAAGTGGAACAGCATCAATAAATCAATATAAAAACCTGTTTTAAAAAATGGCACTTCAATGTCTTAATGTGCCACGACGAGTGTAACCATAGATTCTCGATCACAAAACATCCCCCTTTAGAACTTTTTCTTTAATAGCTATAAGTCGGAGTAAAAGACTAACCGTGGGAACAGACCAAGAACAGACACTAGAGGCACCACCGGTCATGAAATTTTAATTAATTTTCATTGTTTTTAAACTATATTATTCATAAATGTCATGTTATTAGCTATAGTGAATCTACTTTTATCTACTAATTGATAATATCTTCCAATTAAGTATTTGAACTTATTGAGAGTCATTGCGAATTTTACGTTTTAAAAATATTACTGGAATTTTAACAAGTATGTTAAGCAGGTGTTTATATCACGTGACATTTGTGAAAGCTACACACTTTTGGGGATTTCCGCTAATGAGTAATAAAGCAAATATTCCCCCAATAAAAAGATAGATAAAGTAAAAAATATGTCAATACTTTGATAAAGATAGTAATAACGTATATTCTCGTTTTTTTTAATGATTTTATACTCGTATATTTTAAAAATGATTTTTTAAGACTCGAGGGTATACTATAGCAAATTTTTAAATGAATGTTTTACCTGATAGGTTACTTGACGGTTTAAAAACTAACTTATACACTTAAGTTTTACCTATCAAATAGTTATATAAGCGATACCGAATTAAACTTTTAGTTGCATAATCGAGGGCGAGATTTTTAAATTCATTGTTGGCCAACCATGAACATAGAATAAGAATTTTAGAATTCGAATAAGTGGGAGGGGGGTTAATCTCTGCGACCTTAGAGATCTATTGTGTCCCCCTTTCTTGAGTGATAGCTCATCATACAGTCCCAGGACTTCCTACGGAGACCCGTGTCCCTCACAGTCGAGAAGCTACGACCCAGGCCGGGTAGACGAAACGGTAGCTTGTGTCGCCTGTTGGGTTTAGAGGTAGGAGGTAGGCTCCCGACCCTTGGAGGAGGTGGTAGCTTGTATGCCCCTTGCGGAGGATGGTATCACGCAAGTGTCAGCCACCTCTCCTGTAGTTCTCTTTGGGTTTGGCCCCTTGGAACTTTCATTGTTACTGTTCCCAGTGTCGCTAGGGGGTTTCCCCACAGCTTCACCGGTGATGTTTTTATTACTATTATTACCAGATCTCATAGTGTTCCTATGAGTCGCTAGGGACAGTCGGTCCACTTCTACAGAGACCCGCATGTAGAAGTAAGGGGTAAAATACAATGGGGTGCCCCAAGGTTGAGGCTGTCCGTAGCCCCGCCCGGTATCGTTATATGTCTTGGTGCAATTCCCTGGCCACGACACTACAGTCAGGGACAAGACGATGAGTGAGATGCTTCTTAGACCAAGCCAAGTGCTAGAGGGGATTCCCCCCAGCACCTGACCAGGAGTTTCCCCACCAACGACAAGGTCTTGCTTCTCCTAGGGGAAGAACCATGGACATATTCGTCGCCGGGCTGACCAACTGGAATTTAAATTTTCCGCTGGGGATTCAGGTGGTAGTAAAAAATGTCAAGTTGCCACATTTATTTATTTATTTCCTGACATTATCATTCGTTTTGACAATTTCGTTTTGTATTACGAGTTTTTGGTTTAAATAAATTGTGTTATGATACTTTAAGCTTAACATTTTTTACTAGCAGACCTTGAAGTCGAACATTGTTCTTTTTAGAACTTCTTTTAGTGCGAAGTGTACAAGATAGCTTAATAGATGTTGCAAAAAACTCATCGCAACCTTATTAGAATATGATGAACGGAAAAGCAGTAGTAATAGCCCTTTATGTACCTTAAGTGCTGTTAAGGTGAGTTTTGTTGATGTAAATAATAACTGTTTATATATTTATAATTAAAAAAGTAGACAACGCTGTGCCGGTCAAGCTTAATCACGTGACTAAAATGTTATTTGAACTTGTGAAAGAATAAACAAAGAAGTTGTCAAAATTTTTGACAGAAAAAACATTTTTGACAATAAAAAAAAAACGATCAAAAAATATTTTTTTCTATGTAGGTACCTACAGCAATCTCTCTTAAATGCCTATACTATAAATTTTGATTGTAATTTTGTTCCAGTGCCAATATTTGGTGACTCAACTCGCTTAAACTTTCGATTTCAAATCTTTTACGGTTAGTTAGTTTGTTTATTCTCTCGATTTAGGCATAGCAACATAATCTAGGTTATTTAAAATTTATATTAGGTATAATATGATAGAGTAATTAAAATATAATAATAAAATATTAGTGGAACAAAATTCAGCGTGCCACCTGAAATACGTCCTAGTACAAAGTTAGTCCTAGTACACAAATGTCACCATGTTTATTCAGTTTTACACATGTTTTATTTTTATCACGAAAATTATTAGAGATAAGTATTGGTTAATATAAAAGAAAAATTATGAGAAATGAAAGTAGTTTCGAAAAATGTAATAATATACCGGGTGTTCCATTTAAAGTAACAAAGGCGCTACCCTTTTTAATATGAAGCGGCAAAACTGTAATGCTGAAAATAATTTAGACAGAGGGAGCCATCGCCTTTATACAAAAATGTAGTGGAATATAAGTATGTATAGTAGTAATACGCTGATGACAGCGCTCTTGTTGCAAAAACGTTACAGCAATTACAAGAAATGTTGAACACATATTATACCTGGGCATACGAGGCTTTGGACCTTAAGCTGAACATCGATAAAAGTTCAATCATGTGCACTCCCCCGGAAGATCACAACAATGCTATAAAAATCGGAAATGAACTATTGGAATATGTAGCAGAATTCAATTACCTCGGCAGTTTGAATACGCAAAAGCCCAATATCGACTCTGAAATTCAGCACAGAACCCAGCGCCTCAAGAGCATTCTGGAAATTAAAAGAGAGGATTTTCTACAATCATGACTTGAGCACAAAAACGACACTTGCAGAGTACCAATCAATAATAATATCCACCATGTTATATGAAAGCGAAACCTGGGTGCCGTACCACCGACGCACGAACGCATTAAACAAGTTACAACAGAGACACCTTAGACAACTCTTAAAGAATAAAATGGTTTCACCATGTCTGAAACGCATCTGTCCTTGAAAAGGCTAGCTGCGAGAGCGTTGAACTCATGATTACAAAATCCCGCTTAAGATGGGCTGGTCACGTATGCAGAAAAACAACGCTTTATTGCCTAAAAAGCCAAAAACAGCTTCATCGACAAAGCAAAACAAAAAAAGCACAAAATGGATATACAAATAATACAAAAATTTCATACAATACAAATCAATTCAAAAAAAAAAAAATTACGTCATAAAATTACAAATAAAACATATATGGACATTGCAGAACATAGGCGTATCTAGAAAATTTTACAAAAGGAAAACTGTAAATGGATAAAATCATGTTATAATAACATTAAATCAAGAGTTATAAAATATTAAATACTAGACCTTTAACCAGTGTGTGAGATGATCAAAATATTAAAATTAAAATTCTAAATTGTTCATGATTAAACATCAACAAAAAAGTCGTTTACCGCATATAGGGCTCTCTCCAGTAAGTATGATTTCAGAGCTTTGCGAAATGCGGGAAAGAATGAAAGTGACTTGATATTCGAAGGCAAATGATTGTACATTTTCTTGGCATTGTACAGTATTGAGCCCTTAACTAGTTCTGAGCTTGGGGTTGGCAGATAAATATCGTGCTCCGCATTCCTAAGTGGATAGTTGTGAGAAGGCCTTTCCGGAATAGAGAATATGTGCTTGCGGATTAAGCAAACGGATACAAAAATGAATAAGGAAGGAAGAGTCAGTATTTTGAAATTTTTAAAGAAATTCTGGCAGTGAGTTCTACTGTTTAGTCCCAATAAGTATCGAACTGCTCTCTTTTGAAGTTTGAAAATACGATCAAACGGTATGCCCATGCAAATGCAAATTTTAAAAATACTTGCAAAGAATGCAAGAAAACCGCCTACCAAAACCTCTTCTTGTAGACGGTAAGAGGAAACCAGATGGATAACTCAAAACGTACAAGGATATTTTCCACGATAACTCAAAGGGGATAAACTAAGGGGAATGTCCGAAGTGCGAAAGAGAGATAACATCACGTATCGGGCTTTTCAGTCACAGAAAAGCTCATGAAAGAAAGCGCCTCGCAATTGCCAAATTTTCACCCTTCTACCATCAACCCCTATTTTTTAATAGGGATTGTTTTTTTATAATTTTTTGTTACCATACTCCTCCAAAACGGCTTTACCGATCTGATGTGTGTCAAATACTCGTCAGCGAGTAAGGGCAACTGATTGATTTATACAAAACTCCAAATTTTATAAAAAAATCATTCATCGCCGATTCTCTAATAAAACTACCTTGTTACAACACTGGTGGGGACTATAAGCTCTTTATTATTCAAGCTCTAAGCTCTAACTAAATACATAGTAAACTAAAGCTGTTATTATGTATTTACTCACCTAAAGATAAATGTCCTTTTTCCTCCTTCGTTCCTCTACCAGTCTGCCCGATAAAAAACGGCTTCCTCGAATCCACACCCCTCAACATCTCCTCCAACTTATTGTTCCTGATATAAACGTCATCGTCCGCCCTCAGGAACCACTCGTACCGATCAATAAAATGATCGTGCATGTACTTGAGCATGGCAAAGGACTTCTTCTGGGGCGGGTACGAATCATCGATGCCCCTGAGCGCCACCAGGGGAAGGTACTCGGAGGTGGAGTTCTCCGACGAGAAAATGACCGTTCTGCCGGGTACGTCTTTGCCCCAGGTGTCGTAGATGGCCTTGGCCCGCGTGTCGAGGTACTGCTTCGCGGTCATCACGCCTGGAAAGAGCAAGAGAAAATGTAAGTAATTAATTTGATGTTTTGTAGTGAATTAGTGTTTTATTTTGCTGTATGTTTGTGTAATACCAAAGTAGTAAGTTTCATGGGTAGTAAACAGATTGTAATTGTATTCCTGCAGATTGAGTGCAAAGTTTTGTTCTTAAATATCTACTTTATACAGGGTGGTCCGAACTGTATTCCGAAAACTTTGGCATCATGTTCTGCAGATAAAAATAAGTAAAAATGTTTGTATAAATGTATGTCCTAAAATGCTTAGTTTCGGAGATACAGGGTGTAGAAGTTTCATTTTTATTTCCATTTTTTCCAAATAATTTCTGAAATAACGTCAATATTTGGATGAAATTGGTATCTGGGAGTTTTTTGACATGAGAAATTTGATATTGATGTCAATATGACTCTTGGAATGGCCAAGGTCATGTCGTGTCACATTACGGCCTTCAATTTTTACTCCCATCGCGCCTAAAGAAGTTTGACTTCAAAAATTAGATAATCAAAAGTTCACATAGATAGATGAACAAATGCAAAACCAAGACCAAGTTTTCCTTGGTCTTGGCCTTGCTGCAGTTAACAAGGCCATGGTCTTGGTTTTAGTCTTGCAACTTCGTCGGAATATATTAAATCACCCTGTATATAAACATGTCTTTATTGTCAATTGTAATTACACAACTCAGTACCTTAAGTAGGTACTTATTATTTTAAATTAAATTTTGAAGCGGAAATTAACAACCACTCGTGCAATGTAACGTAACGCCCAACTCGGAAATCACTCCATATTGTTTTAATTTAAAATCGCTTATAACAGCAAAGCTAATAATCAACAATGCGTAAAACCGGATTTCAATAAAATACAATATTCATTGTGTGCTTTAAAATTAATATCGGTACTACGGTAGTAAGAATACTATCCTACTACAGTGCCTACTACTATAACTGTAGTAGGTACTTAAAAAAATATTATCAACGTGTTTTAAGATATTAAAAATTGAAATTAAACCCATTCTGTATTTAGAGTATGTATAGTCAGTCCAACAAGAGGAGACATGACAGTTACAGTTACGTCTATCATGTAATCAATTCTTTTCAACTGCCTTTAATTTGCCCTTTAAAGTATCCTCGTCTGTCCAATGAGTATAATATTATATTAATAATACGTTACACAATCTATTTTTCGACGAAGCCCAGAATTTTGGATTTTTTTTTAGTTTTTAGTTAAAAAAATAATTTTTTGATAATATGGCAACATTGGTAGTATATTAAATTTACAAATATATGAATTCATTAACAAAATTAAAGATATAACATTGCATGAAGGTGAAATTTTGGTCTCCTTTGATGTATCTTCGTTGTTCCCAAGTGTTCCAATTCCACATACTTTAGGCTACTTAAAGGAATTACTGAACGCAAATGGTCTCGACAACAAAACTGTGAGTGAATATATTGAGCTTACATCGTTATGTATGAAACAAAATTGTTTTCAATTTAATAACAACTTTTTTGAACAGCGGGAAGGTACAGAAATGGGTAATCCATTGTCTCCATTTTTGGCTAATTTATTCATGAGCAGGTTTGAAGTGGAGGCTAAGAATCAGTTTGGGTATTTTCCAAGAGTATGGTTTAGGTATGTGGATGATATTTTTGCTGTTTTTGACACACATTCAGACACTATAGATAATTTTATTTCTAAGTTAAATAATCGTTTTCCTTCCATTAAATTTACGCATGAAATTGAGAACAACGACAGATTACCATTTCTAGATGTATTAGTTATTAGAAATACTAATAATTGCCTGGCATTTGATATCTATAGGAAAAATACGACCACACGCAGATATATTCCTAATGAATCACATCATAGTGTTGAACATAAAATGGCTAGTTTAAATTTCTTAGTTCATAGGTTACTTAGTTTCCCACTTTCCAACGAAAGATATGAAATAGAAAGAGATTACATTAGGAATGTAGCTGAGTGTAATGGATATTCTCCTTTACTAGTTGATAAATTAATTAGAAAACGTAGGTATAGGTTAATGATTTCTGAAAATTCGACTTTTCAAGTGGAGAAAGATACGTCTAAATATTTTTCGATACCGTTTGATAGAGAGTTATCCCGTGGTCTAAAAGGAATTTTTAAGAATGTAAATTATAAACTTGTGTATAGTGCTAATAATAAATTACAACAATTATTAGGTAATCCAAAGGATAAAACACCTCCACTGGAAAGGTCGGGTATTTATGAAATTTCTTGTAAAGATTGTAATCAGAAATATGTTGGGCAAACTAGAAAATCAATATTAACTAGATTTAAAGAACATTTAGCTCAGATAAGATATGGTAAACCGGATAAATCTTGCGTTGCCGAACATATTGTTCATAAAGAACATTGTATAGATCTTAATAATTTAAAATTAATTAAACAAGTCTCAAATTACAGGCAATTAGATGCATATGAAAGCATCAGAATTAATAAATGTAAAGATAGTATGAACAGAGTCAACGGTCCAATTCCTTCAAGTTCTTTGTTCCTACTACTCTAGTGGCGGAAATTAACTGTTACGCTCAGCGGGCTCTGACTCGGTTGGCTTGATTTGGTACCTACTGGGCGAGTATATAAACGCTCAACTTGTAGATTGTACTTTAGTTTATAATCATCTGCTGATGATGCTAACATGGTTAGCCAAACGCGCGTCCAGTGTAAAAGTAAAAGTGTTTTGGAATATTGTGGTTTTTAGTGTAATTTTATTTTGTTAAATTTACAAGAAAGAAAATCCAGAAAAGATCCAGTGATTCTCAAAATTTGAGCAAAAAATCATTTTTTTTTGGAAATTTTCTAGAAATAACTCCGTTATTTTGGACTTATTTGAAAAACGATAAAGAGAAAATATGTTTCTTTTATCGAGATCTACCACACCTTAAAATACTTGCACATGTTTCTGGGATAACCTGTATAGCTCTGTTAAATTATGTGGCACCCTGTATATCAATATTTTTTTCATATAAGGATCATATTTCCGTGTTATATCATTTGGTTATTTATCCTATTCATCTCTCATTAGTGCCATTACGTTTGCTTTAATAGAGCCATAATACCGTAATTAACGCAGTAGAACATTGAAAAACTGTAATTGGTAATAGTTTTTAATAGTGCAAGAAACTCATAAATACATTCATTAGGTAGGATTAACAGGTTTTTGCACTGGAACCTATTTTTTACGCTTATGCAAATTTTATTAAGTAATTTTATCAGATAACATTGATACAACATTACGTAGCAAGGCGCCAAAATATTAATAAATCATCCTAACTTGTAATCCCCTAATAGTACGAGAGCCAAAGATACTAAATATAGGGATTTACACGAGCGTCATGGGGATCAATAATTGTATTGTGAAAATCAGATACCAAAAAGAAAAAAAATACCTCCTATTGAAAAGGCCCCTCACTAATTTTTTTTTATTTAGCTTTGTCACTGATAGGAAAATAAAATTAGAGTATAAAAATGACGCATTCATGTAGAAATACTGATTTTAGGAATAATAAGAATGAAGTTATAAATAAATACCGTAACAATTGAAGAAAAAAAACGGCGTCACAATAGTCTTTGACGTGATAATGAATGATAATTTTTTGTTATGAATACCGCGACGTTATTTAGCAATTATAAATATATAACTCGTAATATAAAATTCTATGCAAACCTCTCATGCATCATTGATAAGTGTCATAGTTTTTTATACAGGATACTTTCTGTCAGATGACATATTGAATTCGAAAAATATCTAATATCTGTGAGTTATGTTCATATTGTTCATGGACATGTATCAGATAATAACTCTTTATTAACACTGTTTAATATATTTACACAATTTTTAATATATTTACTGTTCAGGTATGTCACAGTTTGCTTATTCAAATTACGGTTGACACATACGTATATGCGTAAACTGCAAAAAGGTTTGTCCATAAAAAAGCTTAAAATAAACATTTTTAATGTGTATATTTAACAAAAAACAGCACTTTTGTATAAGTGTCTGTATGTGTTAATATTGTTGTTAATTAATATATTTTCTAATATACCTACAAGACAATTAAAACATATTTAGCGCTAAAAGTCACATACCTAATGAATTATTACTGTAGAGTTGAAATTCATATAAATACCTACATATAGGTAATACATTTCCTTGTGTAAATTTCCTAAGAACATTTCTCAACAACAGAAACTTGCATATATTTAGGTTTTAATATATGTTGATTGCCTAATTTTTGGATTATTATTAGATGTTTGATGTTTGTTCACGGAGGTGTATTATTACAACAGCAAATAAAAAAAAATATTAAAAGATTTTGAACATTGAAATATTAACATTTTTTCTTTAAATAATTTAAAGATGTTTCAAATTTTATGTCAAAAATTTTGCTAAGAGAAAGAAAGAAGAGAAGAGAAGAGAAGAGAAGAGAAGAGAAGAGAAGAGAAGAGAAGAGAAGAGAAGAGAAGAGAAGAGAAGAGAAGAGAAGAGAAGAGAAGAGAAGAGAAGAGAAGAGAAGAGAAGAGAAGAGAAGAGAAGAGAAGAGAAGAGAAGAGAGAGAAGAGAAGAGAAGAGAAGAGAAGAGAAGAGAAGAGAAGAGAAGAGAAGAGAAGAGAAGAGAAGAGAAGAGAAGAGAAGAGAAGAGAAGAGAAGAGAAGAGAAGAGAAGAGAAGAGAAGAGAAGAGAAGAGAAGAGAAGAGAAGAGAAGAGAAGAGAAGAGAAGAGAAGATGGTTATCGAAATATCGGTGTTTTGGTGTATTTGGGTGAATTAGTATTTTATTTTACTGTTGTAACACCAAAGCTTGCAACCGTCAACTGTAACAAATTCTTAGTCAATGCAAAATTTACACAAGACTACTACTGTCTCCTGTAGGAAACATTTACAGGAGACATTATCCAAAATACCACCAGTTTAAGTAGAATTTCATAAATACCGTCACATACTTCAAACTACAAGATATTTAAAATTATAGCCACATTAAAGATGTAATGACAGATACTATAGCGACAAAATAATGTAGAACAGACTAGATACGTTCTTTTACTAGGTTGTATATTTATAAATGCATTTCTTCGCCCATAAAAGAAAAAAAAACGAATAAAATTTTATGTAAAAACGCGTAATCTACTTTTTTCTTAAAAGTAGTACGCATCATTCCATATGTAGCCACAAGTGACTTACTGACTTGCTATACAGTAGTTCAGTAACGTAACATAGAACTTCTAACCCGTATAAAAGAAATATATTTATAAACAAAAACTTACCAGCAAATAGAAGATTTTTCCTTCCTTCATCAGTATAAAACTTCTCCAAACTCTCCAACTTATCCGCTTTGGCCGATCTGCGCACTATCCTAGGCCGACAAAAATTACCCGCGCTAAAGAAAAACTGCGAACAAATTATCCCTATAACAACACCCAAGATCACCTTCCTGAGCTTCTTGGGTTTGGCCATGTTGTACCCCAACTTGGGACATCATTTAGCTGCCTCTTCGATGGATGCCAGTTCAAGATCATAAAGTACCAGGCATATTATCCTCCCTACCTACTTTTATTCAAATTCATTCGGGACCTTCAATTACTTTTTTTTCGTTGATGGGTCTTGAGTTATACCTGTTTCGGGAGAAAACAGATAATCTTTTCTCTGTTGAGCTGCATATCTTTCGGGTTTAAGTGGTTCTTGTTTACTTAAAATTGATAATTATTTTGTCTTGATAGTTTTTCTAACTGAGGCGATATTTTTTCAAACTGTTAACCTTTAAATTTATTCAGTAAACCAGCTTTTCGAAGAAAGGAATGATCTCTTAAGCCGGATATCCACAAACTTTGACCCATTATTTCTTTCTCATTCAAATTAGTCCCAGTGTAGGTGAGATTAATGACCCAAGGAATCTTGTTTTTTTTATTATTATTGGTCCTGTCATACCAAAAAAAAGTTAGAACGTCAAATATTATTTTTTTTTCTCAAGGGTTCTTTATAAGAACCGACTTTCTTGTGGTACAATTAACCCAGTTTGAGTTAAGTATAGTGTCTCCTTGAATTTTGACCCTCTGAACCTTGTTTGTCAACTGAGATATTAACCTCGCCTGGTGGGTTCACTTTCGTACAGCGCATTGAGGTTCAAATTATTTTAACTATATCTTGTTTATTTTGTCAGGTATAAACTGGTGACAACCCTTATTTTATTTAAAAAAATAATAACGTCTCTTGATAAAATAATGAATTATATCACGACAATCACAGATCGAAAAACAAAAAAGCCCTTTTTCACTGAGTAAGTACTACTTTTCGCGCTTTCCACTCGATTTTGCCGGTACTGTTCCCCGATCGCACGATTTCTCTACGGCTTGGCAGTTTATCGATACACTAGCGCGCGGCTGTAACTTAAGTCGGTCTGAGGAACCAACTTAGCGCACTGTCGGCGCATACGACGATTTTGGTGTGCGATAGGTCGATCAGTAGACCTTCTATGCGGTACTACCGACCGGAGTATCGAATACAAGTCCTTCCCAACACCAACTTGATGCAACTTTGGACCAGGATGTGTTATTTTACAGGTTTCGTTTGGAACTTGTTCCGAACAGGTATAGTTCATATTCTATTCTGTTCCAGTTCTAGCTAAGGTTTCCATATGTCCGGATTTACCCGGACATGTCCGGATTTTTAAAGTTTGTTGGATATTTTAGTTAAGTAAAATACCCATTTCTATACTTTTGCGCTCATATTCTTCGCTTTTTGTGCACTCCTGGAAAGTGAATGCTTTTTGGTTTATATTTTGTTGATTCCGAGGCAAATTATTGCGTCCTATAAGAGGTCCGGAATTTCCAAAAGCCTTTATGGAAACCCTAGTTTCAGCTGATCCAAAATTATTACGCTCATCGTATTTATTATATTAGCATATTAGTATATAGGTACATTACATAAAGGATATTATATATGTATATAATATTAGTATATTAATCAAAACCTAATTTTTACGTATATTTATGAAAAGGAGAATACACTTTTAACAGGGTACCGGTCAAAAATTTGCCGCAACTATGTTTAATTAATAATAATAACACAGATTAGGTATCCTATAAGTATACAGATAAAAATCTTGTCCCTAATTCGTGGTACGAAAATTGTTTTTTATGACGATGTGCAAACTGGCGTAAAATAACAATAAACAGCCTAATAGAGAGATATCGCTAAACCGAATAGCGTGCATGGACGTTAATAAGGCCAGGTGTTATTTCCTTTACGTGAGGTGCTATTAACTCTCTTCATTTATAGTTATCGGATCGGAAAGAATTCTGTTCGCGTCGCGTCCTCTATTTAAACTTAACACTAACTTTGAATTTAAAACTTTGAAATTGTTTTGTTTACTAGGTATTTTAAAACTAAAGGGCTAAAGTGCTTATTTCCAGTATTTATTGTTCAACGTCTGCCAGTGGGTTTAGGGCAACAAGCAACAAATTCTCTTAGAAGGGCTAAGTCGTCATCTGCTGTAAACCTAAGCCTCTTTATAGGTTCTTTAGTATTGGAAGAGGTGGAATCCATATTTTGGGCCATATTTATTTAATTAAAACTAATCCCAGCTACCTAAATATCAAATTACCTAATAAAACTAAAGTAATAATTCAAAACAATTCAAACATAACCTAAAATAAAAGATCTCGCCGGCCGGCCCCGGTTGTCAAATACCCGCACATGCCCATTTAAGCAATTTTTAAACGTTATTTAGAAATAGCGCTTGGTGTAATTGATCCGCAAATTACGTCAGGCGGTAACGTTATTAGCGGGTGTTGCGTTAAAAATTGACTCGCGCATATCGTAACCATGATAAAGTACGCATAAATACTGCATGACGCTATTCGGTTTTCCGATGTCTCTCTAATAACCGTGCTGGTCAGGCGCTGTGCATAATTTTACAGGCCAAAAGTGGGCGTGCTATGTGCGCAAACTAGTAACCTAACTAGTGCCCGATTCCGAAAATTGGAACCACGAAAAACAATAAAGAAAAAACAAAGTTTATAATCTGTATAATCTGTGATAATAATAACTGATTTTGGAAACGACATTACGTTCATAAAAATTATTGATGGTTTATAAACTCACCGGCAAAAAAAAACCGGCCACTAAAAACTAGACCCAATTTCAAAGTTGGATTTCTCGCGAACCACTCTCTAGATTTTGATGATTTTTTTTAAAATTGTAAATTAATTCCTTTTTAACGGATGCTGTCAGAAATTTTTATTCCGAATTTATTTTGAGCATATACAGGGCACAACAAAATACGAAGTTTTTTGACCGAACTTTGTAACAGCCTGTAGAGTGCAGCAGCGGTAGTAGCTATAGTCTGTCCAACGAGAAGATCCTTGACAGTGATAGATGTGTCTGTCATTTTAATTTCAAAGTAGTTTATTTTAATTTACAAAAAAATAAGTTGGTACAACTGGAACGCATAGCATAGGAAATTAATATATGTATTTAAAATTGTAACTGAAGTTACTTCAAAATATTGTGAAAAAAACTGTATAAAACTGAAAAAATGTAATCGAGTTATTTTATTTAATAAAAAACGGTATGTGTTAATACAAAATAAACAAAAACAAGACACCACATACCAAAAAATATAAAAAAGCACTATTTCTTACTTTCAATCTTTATGAAACTTCACGCATTTATGATTATATTTATCAATATAACTTATGTACAAATACAAATTTGTAATATTCCGCAGGAATAAATAAAACAAACTATTTTATTAATAATAACACTTACCAAATTTTATACCTCACAGGTTGATTAATTAACTTTAATCTTAATTTGTTTAAACCAGTACCTTTTGACATTATTTTTCTGCAGTACTAAAATCCATTATTTACCTATCGTGTGATGTCGATATTTTACAGCTACTCCAGTTTTTAGTATGTGTTTAGTATGGTCCTTCTACCATATTCGAGATGCACTTATCTACGACGAAATGGTATACGAACTTTATTGATAGTAACTTTAGTGGTGTATCTGTATAAGACTTTCTGCCTGGGCAGCGAGCGATTAACCATAAACGGCAGCGATTAACCATAAACCGTGCTCTGGGTTCTACAGTTAATTTTCACTCGATTTTTCCTCCACTTTACTTCAAAAGACACAAAACACTCGTAATAACACGAATCAAAATGCATCATCTTCCAAAACACAGGGTATTTGACAAAAGTTGTCACAAAACTATAACCTATAATTTGGCAAGACTTTGACAAACGTCAAAAATCTAAAGGCGAGTTCATATTATTCGGCGTCCGTTTGTCGTTCATCGTTCCGTCAAACCAATAAAATTGAAATACGATCTGTCATTTTTGAAATAAACCAATAAAACTGGTTAAAAACAACAAGTGACGACGCATGACGAATTTATATTTAAACCCATCCATAGTTAACTTAAAAATTATTAGAAACTTTTTTAGTAAAATAAATAGATTGGTATGGGACGTCATCTGCTTTTCTTCTGTCATCGTCTGTCGAAATCTTACCTGAGAAAAAAAAAACAGAGTATATTGCTAAATTAAATCACATTGTAGCCTCATCTTTTGTGAGCATTTTGTTTTTTTAATCATGGCATTATCTCTTTTTGTATTGGAGATATGCTGTTTTAATACGACGTCTCGGAAAAATGCTTCGCAGGCAGAAAGTTTTATGTGTAAATAATCAAGGCGACATAGGCGAAAACGGATTTATGAGTATTTGGAATATGACAACAACGGTTGTCAAATTAAAAAATTCCATTATCTGTAACGGATGTTGCTCGTATTGTGGCTTTAATTGAGGATGGCCGAAGTCAACGTTATGTCTCCGATATCCTGGGTATATTACGAACAACAGTCCAAGATGCTTGGAATCGGTATATGGAAATTTCACCAAGCGAGTGGACACTAGATATTAGTCCCTTAAAATTTCTTTACCTTTTTTTTTTCATTTTCATGTTTTAGTTAGTTTTCAGATTAAATTTACCTACGTTCTGATGTTTGATTTGTTTTTAAAGCTTTTTTCGAGACGTTTGTTTTAAAGCAGCGTAATTTCCAATACAAACAGATAAAATGACATGATTAAAAAAACAAAATGCTCACAAAAGATGACGCTACAATGTGATTTGATTCAGCAATAGCTCCTACAGCTGCTGCACCCTACATTGGGTGTTACAAAGTTCGGGCAAAAAACTTCGTCTTATTGTTGTGCCCTGTATATGCTCAAAATAAATTCGGAATAAAAATTGCTGACGTAGCATCCGTTAAGAGTAGTACATGCGAGAAGCAGCCGACGCTCTATATAGAGTATCGCACTGTAAGAAGAAGAAGACAACGGTCTGTGGTAATCCGTCGTAGGCCTTGGAGCTTTTTCGTCTCTACCTAAGATTTTTTGGCCAATCCCTACTTAACTATTCACCAGTGGACCGGCCGTTCGGGCCAGTTATACTGTGGTTATACCTAAAGTATTGTTTCTTGGCATGCGAGTCAAAATTAAGTGGATTCGCTTTGGGGCAAGTGGTTTTTTCGAAATTCTTGCCCGTCTGCCCGGCCGGCGACGACATGACAACATGGCAGTCGTAAAAAACGGACTTCAATTATACTGTAATTAAATTTCGAGTACTTAGTTCCGTAATGCATTAATAAAAAATATTGTTGGACGATGAAAGTGACAATTAGTGTAAAATTTGTTTTTAATTTACATCATTTATGTTATATGAGGTAATAAATTGATGAATCGATCGGGCTGTCAACCACTTTTTTTAATAGTCGGTAGTAATGATAGCGAAAAAAATTATCATCAAGGACGGATTAAGATAAGGTGATCTACTATTTCCAGTATCAGCAGCGAAGCTTTCATTGATGCGGATGATGCATCGCATCCTATCAAAATATTATAATACGTTTTATACAGGGTTGTTCACCACATACGACACGGAGTACTGTAGCTAAACGATTTGATTTTTACAAATTGTAAGTTTTGGGTTCGTTGAAGGACTATTAGAGCTGTAATTTAAAAATATTTTTACAAGATACAGAGTGTCCCAAATAAGTAAAAAATATTACAGTTTTATTTTTTAAATGGGACACCCTGTATATTATTCTATTTTTAGATTCTACGATTGAAATAAAGGTAAATTTGATTAAGGTTTGTCACACTTAAACCTTACCGTTTTTGAAATATTTTCAATTTTATGAAATTGCAGTAAAAATTTTAAGGCTTCATATCTCCAATTGTTTCAAAGATTTTAATACTAAATATTTACTGAAGATTATTTATTGATCAGAGATTGTGTTGCAATAATAAAAATTATACTACCTTATACAGAGTGTCCAAAAATTTATATTAAATAATTACTAGCTTTAAACGGCAATAACTTGTTTAATTTAAATGGAACATCCTGTATATTTTACAAGGATCAGATGCACGATTTAATTGTCTATCAAATTGTATTATAACATTTTTTTACCTATCTCTTGAAGTTTTCGTAGAAAATGCATTTTCTTATAATTTGGACCTCATTTATCACCATGGAATAATAATTATTTATACCCATGGAATATTGACATTTTAGATTGTTTTTGAAGATGTAACAAATTTTCAGGTATATAGTTCGCTTATTTCATTAAAAAATAAAAAAAAAAACTGTTTAAATATTTTTTATTATAGAGGACCAATTAATACGATCCCAGTATTCAAACTACATTAATTGACTGTTTATGTTGATTAATACTAATTGCTCCAAATACTAAAATGCTGAATTTTGTATGTGTATTAGATAGTGTGGTAAAAGTAACACCTTATAAATTTTATTTCATTTTTATAACAACAGAGACGTTCATTTTCATAATTTATTATTATATTGATTTCTGAGTCAAATCCACATTTATTTAAATAATTTATTAATTAAAACAATTAAGTATGTAATTAACTAATTTTTGGAGGGAAATAATGGTGGTATATTTAATTGGTATACTCTTTTATAAATATTTAAATAATTTTCTTTTTGTAAACAAATCGGTTTGAAATATTATTATTTTTACCACCTGTACATTTTCTACATATGTTACTTTAAAAAAATCTAAAATCTCAATATTCCATGGATATAGTTATAAATGAGATCTCTATTATAAGAGAATGCATTTTCTACGAACACTTGAAGAGATAGGTAAAAAATGGTATAATACAATTTGATAGACAATTAAATTGCGCATCTGATTCTCGTAAAATATACAGGGTGTTCCATTTAAATTAAATAAGTTATTGCCGTTTAAAGCTAGTAATTATTTAATATAAATTTTTGGATACTCTGTATAAGGTAGTATAATTTTTATTATTGCAACATAATATCTGATCAATAAATAATCTTCAGTAAATATTTAGTATTAAAAACTTTCATACTCTTGGAGAAATGAAGCCTTAAATATTTTACTGCAATTTCACAAAATTGAAAATATTTAAAAAACGGTAAAATCTAAGTGTGATAAACCTTAATCAAATTAACCTTTATTTCAATCGTAGAATCTAAAAATAGAATAATATACAGGGTGTTCTATTTAAAAAAATACAACTATAATATTTTTTACTTATTTGTATCTTGTAAAAGTATATTTAAATTGTATCATTTATTATTATTACTCATTCTAAATTCTACATTCATAGGAACTTTGTGTTTTATTTTTTTTCTGCTGAATCACCCACTCAAGTTGGATACACTATTTCTTTGATACCCTGTAGGTATAATACATACTTTACAACTTATTACCATAGTAGCGCACATGTCAAAGTGACGCCTCTGTTTAAACTCGCTTTATCTAAGTGAAAAAAGTGATGGTATCTTCTGAAAAACCTCTTGTCCTTTCCAAGACTTTTTGGCTGGTTGTCCTTCAGGTCCTTGTAATTTGTTGCAGTGGGGTGCAAGAGGCGCAAATATTCCTAAACTGTGGAGCGCCGTTTCGAAGAAATCTGATTTATGATTACGTGGCTGAACAAACTTTTGTTTTTACGTGTTTGTATTGCACGTGTTTAATGGCATGGATAGGTAAGAAAATAATCATATTTCGAAGTATAGATTTACACATGATCTTTTATTGCTTGCGAGATTTGCCTAAATCTACATTAGTCCCCCATACACATTTGTTTCTCTCTACAATTTCCTGTTTCACAATGTACCGTTTGTGTCCAGGAAGGGTTCATATTTTCATAGTTGTCGATTTTCGAAAAAAATCAGTACATGTATATTATTTCGCATATTTTTCATTTTATTGATTTTATGGAAAGCACTGTTCATTAAAATGTTGTATCCTACGTTATAGGGCTTGTTTGTCTCTACAATTTCCTGTTTCACAATGTACCGTTTGTGTCCGGGAAGGGTTCATAGTTTCATAGTTGTCGATTTTCGAAAGAAATCAGTACATGTATATTATTTGGTATATTTTTCATTTTATTGATTTTATGGGAAGCACTGTTCATTAAAATGTTGTATCCTATGTTATAGGGCTTGTTTCTCTCTACAATTTCCTGTTTCACAATGTACCGTTTGTGTCCGGGAAGGGTTCATAGTTTCATAGTTGTCGATTTTCGAAAGAAATCAGTGCATGTATATTATTTCGTATATTTTTCATTTTATTGATTTTATGGAAAGCACTGTTCATTAAAATGTTGCATCCTATGTTATAGGGCTTGTTTCTCTCTACAATTTCCTGTTTCACAATGTACCGTTTGTGTCCGGGAAGGGTTCATAGTTTCATAGTTGTCGATTTTCGAAAAAAAATCAGTACATGTATATTATTTCGTATATTTTGCATTTTATTGATTTTATGGAAAGCACTGTTCATTAAAATGTTGTATCCTATGTTATAGGGCTTGTTTCTCTCTACAATTTCCTGTCTCACAATGTACCGTTTGTGTCCAGGAAGGGTTCATATTTTCATAGATGTCGATTTTCGAAAGAAATCAGAACATGTATATTATTTCGTATATTTTTCATTTTATTGATTTTATGGAAAGCACTGTTCATTAAAATGTTGTATCCTATGTTATAGGGCTTGTTTCTCTCTACAATTTCCTGTCTCACAATGTACCGTTTCTGTCCAGGAAGGGTTCATATTTTCATAGATGTCGATTTTCGAAAGAAATCTGTACATGTATTTTATTTCGTATATTTTTTATTTTATTGGTTTTATGGAAAGCACTGTTCATTAAAATGTTGTATCCTATGTTATAGGGCTTGTTTCTCTCTACAATTTCCTGTCTCACAATGTACCGTTTGTGTCCGGGAAGGGTTCATAGTTTCATAGTTGTCGATTTTCGAAAGAAATCACTACATCTATATTATTTCGTATATTTTTCATTTTATTGATTTTATGGAAAGCACTGTTCATTAAAATGTTGTATCCTATGTTATAGGGGTCAGAGATATAGATGTAGTAGTATTTTGGTTTAATGGCCACAGCTATCCGGTCGGGTAATAGAATTATCGTTTTTTAATGAAAATTAAAAAAAAACATTATAAAATTATATATAAGGTAGAATAGTATCCGCTTTTATATTAACTTAATTTTTTTTAAGTTTATATAAAGCATTCATAAAAAATATGTACATATACAGGGTGGTCCGAACTGTATTCCGGAAACTTCGGCAGCATATTCTGCGGATAAAAATAAGTTAAAGCCTGTGAGCAATGTATGTCCTAATCTACTTAGTTTCGAGATACAGGGGAGTAGTTTTCATTTATTTCGATTTTTTCCAAATAATTTCTGAAGTAATGTCAATATTTCGATGAAAATTGGTGTCTGGCAGTTTTGTGACACGAGAAATTTGATTTTGATGTCAAAATGACTCCTATTTGTAGGGGGCGCCATCTACATGTGTTTTAACTGTTTTGAAGAGTAATAACTATTCGTCCGTACCGGTATAAAACTACTGACTGAACAAATATACATTTCCATGACTTTTTACGTAAAAAATATCTCAAGATATTTAGAATATAATAGTCAATACATGTCATTATTGACAAAAAATAAGCACACGATGAGTATAGCTATTTGACTGAAATAATGAATTTTTATTTTTTTAAATTAATCATATATTTTTCTGCGAAAAAATTATGATTAAACAATTTCTGTTGAACTTTTGGCACAAAAAGATTTCAAATTTATGATTTCAGTTTAATAACTATTTATTCAACATATGTTTAATTATTTCTGTCAACGATGACAGGTATTGATAATTTCGATTCCAAATATCTCCAGAACCATTACTCTTAGCGATGTTTGCCCAGAGACCTTTTTCATGCAAAAAAAGTCTTAAATGTATATTTTTTTACTCAGTAGCTTTATACAGGCATGGACGAAAAGTTATTACTCTTCAAACCAGTTAAAAAATATGTAGGTGGCGCCCTCTACAAGTAGGAGTCATATTGACATCAAAATCAAATTTCTCATATCAAAAAACTCCCAGGCACCAATTTTCATCCAAATATTGACGTTACTTCATAAATTATTTGACAAAAATCGAAATAAAAATGAAACTTCTACACCCTGTATTTCCGAAACTAAACATTTTAGGACATACATTTATACGAACTTTTTTAGATATTTTTATCTGTAGAATATGCTGCCGAAGTTTCCGGAATACAATTTGGACCACCCTGTATACACTAATATAAATACGCGAACTTTTCATCTAATGAATATTACAACCGCATATTTTTTTCCAGGTTTGTGCAAAAAGAAGGGTGCCACTTACTTTGTGTTTATCGCGCTGATCTTGACCACCCTTTGCGTCATGCACTGGGTGGATATCTTGATGGCGACCGTCTTTTTCTCTTCAATGACCGAGAAGAACATCGAGGCCCATCTAATGGGAATGTATAAAGTTTATGGTGACATATTCTCTTACAAGAGCCTCAGAGTGAATCGGCTGCAGTCCTGTCTAAAATGTTGCGGCGTGAAAGGACCACATGGGGAGGAAGTTTTGTATTTACGTGGTGCTGGTAAGCGGGCAGGGGGCGCTTATTGTATAGTTTACCGGGTGGCCAACTAAGAATGGACGCCGGCTGTATCTCAGAAACCAGAAACTACTTATCGTATAACTTTGGGAAAAAAATTCTAATAAGTAAGTCGACCAAGAGAAATCGCTGGAAATTATTTTCAAATTCGAAAAATGTCCGCTAGAGGGCGCATCTCTGATAGCCAATCAGAAAACAGGGGTTTTCTCAAAAAAATGCAGGTGAACAGGTATTTTAAATATTATTATTGTAATCATTAATTAGAAAACGTAGGTATAGGTTAATGATTTCTGAAAATTCGACTTTTCAAGTGGAGAAAGATACGTCTAAATATTTTTCAATACCGTTTGATAGAGAGTTATCCCGTGGTCTAAAAGGAATTTTTAAGAATGTCAATTATAAACTTGTGTATAGTGCTAATAATAAATTACAACAATTATTAGGTAATCCAAAGGATAAAACACCTCCACTGAAAGGTCAGGTATTTATGAAATTTCTTGTAAAGATTGTAATCAGAAATATGTTGGGCAAACTAGAAGATCAATATTAACTAGATTTAAAGAACATTTAGGTCAGATAAGATATGGTAGACCGGATAAATCTTGCGTTGCCGAACATATTGTTGATAAAGAACATTGTATAGATCTTAATAATTTAAAATTAATTAAACAAGTCTCAAATTACAGGCAATTAGATGCATATGAAAGCATCAGAATTAATCAATGTAAAGATAGTATGAACAGAGTTAACGGTCCAATTCCTTCAAGTTCTTTGTTGCTACATATTTCCATGGCCAGCTAGGTCGTCGGATTCAATATGCCTGGGTTTTTATTTATGGGGTCGAATCAAGAGCGAATATTTTAAATTACCCCTTCACCTGCATATTTTTGAGAAAAATCCTGTTTTCTGATTGGCCATCACAGATATACTCTCCCTAGCGGACATTTCTCGAATTTGAAAATAATTTCCAGCGATTTCTTTTGGTCGATTTATTTATTAGAATTTTTTTCCCAAAGTTATAGGATCAGTAGTTTCTGAGATACAGGCGGCGTCCATTCTTAGTTGGCCACCCGGTACATTAGGGTGGGTCAATAAGATCGACTATTTTTTTTCACTTTATACTTACCCTAAAAAAAAAAAGATTGGTAGACTTCTCAAAAAAGTTCTCTCCAAGTATGAGCTCTTAATTTGAATAGGAAGGTCCTCTGCCTTTCAATTTTCTATTTTTCCTTATAGAAATGAAAATTCATAGCTCGGTATCTACTATTTGGAAAAAACATCTCGTCTCACATATTTGTAGGAAACTGAATTCTCTACAAAAAAGGTCTCTTAGAATTTTTTTGTAAACCTCACCGTTCGAAAATTATTAAAGGATGAAATTTGATTATTTTAATTTCTTTTTTCTTATGAATTTTATAAACTCGTTAACAAAAATCATTATGATACACATACAACAGTTTTTGGCTAATAATTCGAACAATTCCAATTTATTCTATGAGTTTCGAGAAAATTTGTACAAATCTGAGTTTCTATGAACAACAAAATGTTTTAATTTTTTTTTCTAGTTTTTTAGTCCTAACCGTGTTTGGGTACATTGAAATAAAAAAAATATTGCATTTTTTCTAACTTAGAGTAATAATTCATTAAATTTCGAATAAATAACGTTTTTGTGACAAATTTAATATAAAAAGTATTGATCTAGAAAAAAAAATCAATCTTTATATATTAAATCAAGAAAAATCTTTGATTTTTCTCGGTAGTAAAAGTTCTGAAAAATTTATTTCAGTGTCTTAGACCGTTGAAGGATTCCCATTTCCCGTGGACATTCTGCTTTTTCCTCATCCAAGGGCCTCTAGGATTCTAGATCCTACTGGCTCTGAACCAAGATATTATGATTCCTATTATCCTTATTGAATATATCCTTACTGTTGTGTGTGTGTAGAAAAAAAATAAAAATATATAATGGAAAATAAATTTCATGCAGTTTTTAGGTATATAATAAAATTATATAAGAGTTTCTTGCCTTGAACTGCTAATATAGAAATTAATTCCACGCTGTGCTCGTCATAATGTGGATCAACCTGCTCTCACTACCGGTTTCGGGGCCCTACCCCATCATCAGATGAGCTTGGGTATTTCCACAAAAATATCGATAGTAGTGCCTCGGTGGTACGAAAGTACTACCATTGCACGCAGGCCGCTATCTCGCGATGCGGGACTTAATATCTTACCGCTACTTTACGACAAGTCGGATTGATATATTCTGCGCTGTGCTCGTCGTTTTGTGGAAATACCCAAGCTCATCTGATGATGGGGTAGGGCCCCGAAACCGGTAGTGAGAGCAGGTTGATCCACATTATGACGAGCACAGCGTGGAATTAATTTCTATATTAGCAGTTCAAGGCAAGAAACTCTTATATAATTTTATCATAAAATAAAAATATTTATATAAAAGTATATACTGGGTGGCCCATCGAAAACGTTCCGCAAGGCATAACGGCCAGGGTAATTTTTTTTCAGAAAATTCAAAAACACGTCAATTTTGTTTGTGAGGGGGACAACTTTTGCCCCAAAAATGATTGCAAAATCTTCAACCCTCTAAGCGGGGGTTCATCCCCCAACTTTTTTCAAATGGAAAGGGGGGTCAAGTGGCGCCGCAATGAAAAGAGCTTTCTATTCTCTATATCTTCATGGTTTGTTTTTGAAGATCGGTCGAGTCGTTGGGAAAATATGAAGGATTGAAATTTGAAAAGTTTTTTAAACATTTATCAGAGTAAATGATAAGGATAAATTCCTTCGACCAATTTGCTGTTTTTTCTTATTATTTCTAGATGTTTACAATCGAGTTGCGCAGATATTCAATGAACGCCATCCTGACAAACACCTTTATGGCAAAATTGTTCGCCAGTTAGTAGCAAAATTTCGCGAAACTAGTTCCGTTATGAATAAAAAGAGGCAGAGGGAAAATCCTGTAGTAAATGAAGCTATGGAGATATTCGTATTGGGCCAAGTTGCCATGGACAATATTCTCAAGAAAATTAGCCAATGAGACCGGCAGGAATCGTACAAGTTTCCAAAAGATATTAAAAAAACACAAGTACAAAAGTAGTTCAGTTGGTACAAGAACTCAACGAAGACGATTTTGATCGTTGCTTGCAATTTGGTGAAACTATGAGTGAACGAGTGGCGAATGATAATAATTTCCTATTTAATGTGTGTTTTTCAGATGAGTGTACTTTCTTTTTGAACGGTGTAGTTAATCGGCACATCTGTCGGTACTGGGCTGAGGACAATCCCAGGGTTTTTCACGAGGTGCACACACAAAACCCTCAGAAATAGAACGTGTGGGCTGGTATTTTTGGAAATTCTATTGTAGGTCAGTTTAACGATATTGAGAAGAACTTCAACGTACAAGTCACAGAAGAGCAATCTAGCAACTACCGCACCTGATCGTTCAACGTTGTGGCAAGTGAAAAAATGCGTAAACATATAGAAATAATAAGAAAAAAACAGCAAATTGGTCGAATTTATCCTTAATTATCATTTACTCTGATAAATGCTTAAATAAACTTTTCAAATTTCAATCCTTCATATTTTCTCAATGACTCGACCGATTTTCAAAAACGAAGCGGGGAAATATAGAGAATAGAAAGCTCTTTTCATTGCGGCGCCACTTGACCCCCCTTTCCATTTGAAAAAAGTTGGGGAATGACATCCGCGCTTAGAGGGTTGAATATTTTACAATCATTTTTGGGGCAAAAGTTGTCCCCCTCACAAACAAAATTGACGTGTTTTTGGATTTTTTGAAAAAATAAATACCCTGGCCGTTATGCCTTGCGGAACGTTTTCGATGGGCCACCCTGTATATCAAATAAACTTTTAGTCACGTGATTAAGTTTGACAGGCACAGCGTTTTCCACTTTTACATATTTTCTTTTAATCAAAATATTTTAGAAAACAAAAATAAATTAATTATACATATATAATCAGTTATTATTGACATCAACAAAACTCACCTTCTTAACAGGGCTTAAGGGACATAAAGGGCCATTACTAGGTACCGCTTTTCCGTTTAAAATATTCTAATAAAGTCGCGATGAGTTTTTTACGGCTATTAAGCTATCTTGTACCCTTCTTCTTCTTCTAGTGCAAATCCATTAATGGATGTTTGCGATAACATTTTCCATCGCTTCTCTATTCTTGGCGGTGTTTATTAACGACTGTACATCGTGTAGGCCTGTCCACTGTCTAACATTCCTCAGTCAAGACATTTTCTTCCTGATATTAGAGAACAACGGCATACGGTCGAGTCGGCCGCTCCTGGCACGTATACGTAGACGTAAAGAATCTTTTACGTGTATAAAAAATAGAAAATATAAGAAATGCGCATGCGTACGTAAACGTTTACGTGTTTGTAGGCCGATTCGACCGTATGCCGTTGTTCTCTATTATCTTTTGTACCCACTTCGCACTAAAATATGTTCTAAAAAGAACAATGTTCGACTGCAAGGTCTGCTAGTAAACATTTTTAATCATAAAATATCACAACACTATTTATTTAAACCAAAAACTCATTATTCCAAACTAAAGTTTCAAAACAAATGACAATGTCCGGAAATAAAAATAAATCCGGCAACTTGACATTTTTTACAGCAGAGCTACCACCTGAATCCCCAGCGCGAAATTTAAATTCCTGTTAGTCAAATATTATAACACAACTGGATTCAAATCCACTGCTCACAACGCTTATAGGTTTTTGCTCGTCAAACAAATTTTCGACCAACAAAAACCCTTCCACATCTTTTAGGTGACGTATATTTTGATTTTGATGATGGGGTACCGTATGAAAACCTTTAAAACACCTATAAATAAATGACTTCACTATTAAATCAATATTTGAACAGTTCAAAATGTGGTTGGGTTTTTCACGGTGAAATTTCTTTGCTCCTAGATTTTATTGGTATTTTTATTTTAGATAATTTCGCCGTATGGGACATGACCATAATACCCAGTTGTTGTCCTAGGAACAGCAAGGATTGCACTTCATCCATTGCCTACCAAAAGGGATGTGTATCGGCCATTCTCTCAGAGACAGTCAACGATCATCTGCTCTACGTAAGATTTGGCATTTTAAATGGGATCCTGCAAATTATCACAAGCCGGGTAGTTTTGTATGGATTTGTAGTGTAAGCTTTTTTTGTTAAATTTTGAATTAATAAATGTTTTGAGTATAAGACAAGAGTAAATATTATCATAGTAAATTGGAAGTTGGTCAAAGAATGCTTAGAGAAGCTAAACAAATTAGGAAAAAAAAATTAAGACCTCCTACACCAAGGCACCAAGGGGTTTTAACAGGACCCTGTCTCCTCAATAAACACCTCAGTAGAGTTGAACCAGAAGAACTAACTACCCCCTGTAAAAAAGTCTCAGATACAAGCTTTTGTCAAACCCCTGAGACTGTATGATGGGTACTCAAGAAAGAGGATAGTTCCTCCCATATAATCTACAATCTATCATAGTAAATATTTAGTTAGAGAGAATTTTAAAAATAGCTGATAAGTAGCTGACAAAATTGTCATAATATTAAAAATAATTAAAAAAGTAATTATTTCCTTTACAATGGAAAATGCGCTGGGAAATAGTTTGAATTCTTTAAAAATAAAGCGTATTAAGTGTTGCATAAAATTAATAAAATTGACAAAGAAAATTGACCAATCAGTCAATTGTAGGTTATGTTCCATTAGTTTTCAGTGACGTTTGTTCTTTATTTACAATCATTTTCTTTAACAATATTTTTTTTCCAACTTTCTTATCGATATTAAGTCACAAAGTAAATTAAACGCCACCATGTCGATTGACTAGCTCAAGATCGGGTTAATTCATCGAAATCTCTTTATACAGTGTCTTTTTTCCAGTAAGTTCTACGTAAACAATTAAAAAATCCCCCTTTATCTGAATGAAATGGAGGAAATATCAGCTCCGCAACATGCCATTCAAATTGCCTTTTATACCTTACGAGACAGATGCAGAAATTTACAGCAACGCGTCGTCCTGTTAGGAGAGGAGAATGTAAATTTAAGGATACAATGTAGCAGACACGAAGAATCAAAGAATTCCTTTAACGAATTGGATTACTTACGAGCACAAGTGGCTGAATTATCTGAACAAAAAGGACAGTTACAAAACAAGGTGAATCTAGTAACCAAGGAAAACCAGGACCTGTGGGGCAAACTTGGACAATTAACTAGGGTAAACAGATCGTTAGGAACTCAACTGACAAAAATAAATGATACAATTTCACAGGTATTTCAACAGTTCTATACTTTGTTAGATATAATACAAACTTTATTTCCAGCACTCAGTTAACCCGAATAGCCCCGTTAATCAGTCCAATTTGATTCGGTCAAAAACATTCACCAAAAACGAACTTCAAACGAAAGTTTTACAGAAAAAGTTAGAGGAAAATGATAAGATTAGTTTGGAGCTAGAGGACATATCTCTAAAACTATCGGACAGTTTTACAAGACAGAAACACGAGATTGATCTTTTATGTTCAGAAATAACTGAGATGACATTCACTTGTGATGGTATGAATACAGAAAGTTGTGCGTTTTTATTGGATGAAGAACTAGAGGACAATGTTCTTGGAGAAATTCAAACATTTGCTAGCGATTTCAAGATTTTAAGAGACGTAGTAGTACAGCAACAAACAATATTAATAGAGAGTTTAAAAAATTTGGATAGGCTAAAAGGTTTTTGAAATCTTTAAAAAAAATCGTTTTTTTTTAATAATGTTTATCAATTTCAGAAAAACTAAAACAGAATAATTCACAAAACAGCCAACCCAAACTAGAAAAAAGTACTTCCACTGTTGATTTGCAACCGAAAAGTTTTGAAGACAAATGTACAGAGACAGATATTGAAAAAAATCGGTTGCAAGGTAGCCCATCCAAGAGAAACAAAGATCTCAAGCAGTGTAGTGAAACAATATGTCCAATTTGTTCAAAAATATTTGAGGACACTGTTGATTTCTCGGTTTTTCAAAAACATGTAGAAGATCATTTTTCACTGGATTCTTATGAAATGTTATAGCAATAGGCTAAATTATATTATATTTTGTATATATCTTTAGTTAAATTTAGGTATTGTAATGGTGACACAACTATGATTTATTTATATATTGAACTAGTAATTGACGATAGACTGTTTGACATGTATAAAAATTAACATAATTTATTTTAGAATTATTTTTTGTTGGTGCAATGTATGAGATTCAAGTTGATCTTTCTATATTCTTATTTAAAAAATGTTTATTTATGATAAATAGCTTTTATTATCGTTTTCCTACTATTTCACATTGTAAAAGAGTATATATTATATATTTTACTTCGTAAAGGCATTGTTTATATTCACGAAAGAATATACATAAGCAAAAGATATTTTTTTTAATTTTTGGTGGTAAATATCAGATGTATATGTAGTTGCCTAATCAAACGGAAGACAATTGTTTATAATTTATTTATTACAGAATTATAACATAAAAAACATACTGTTCATCTAAATTAAATTAACCCAGCTCCGATGGTTTAACATCACTGGTTGTGGCACCTTTTTGAGTAGTTTTTTGAAGCAAATTCTCACTAAACCACTCTGGTCTTGATTTTTTCATTTCCACAATCCTTTTACCGTTCCAGAACTCGTCTGGCTGTTTATCTTTCTCCCCATCGTACAGAACTACAATCTCTTTTTCCACAGGTTCCAGTTTCAACTCATTTTGAATAGCATCTTGCATAGCTTTGGTTTCATCGATAACTTTCTTGTAGCATGTTGCTAAAATCATGTTTTTGTTGAGAATATTAAACTGTTTAATGGATTTCTACTTACGACATAAAACTCCAATCTCGTGATCGTCCCCACAAACGTTGCAGGTCTTTAAATTCTTCCTTGGAAGCAAAATTTTCAAGTCGTACTCTGGATTGCCAAATTTCCTCTTAAGTCGTTTTTCTATAGTTCTCCGGTGCTTCGGAACGGCAAATAAAAATCCGTCCCCTAGAATCGATTCCAAAACGCCTTTCCTCTCGCTATTTCCCTTTAAAGTTTTGTTTTCCAGCGGAATATCCAGACATAACCTATAATCGTCTGTCAGAAAGTTGGGTTAAGTTACTGTCGTGTGTGCTTGTTTCAAGTTATATAATGGAGTTAAGTTACCTGGATGATAAGTTCCTGTAAGGGCCCTAAATAAGGCCCTTTCCAAGCCCTTTGCAGCACTATTTAATCTATAAAGTAAGTTGGATACGGACATTTTCTAAGAGCGATTCTGTCAGCTGACTGGAAGCTTTTTAACACCACCGAGGTAGGAAACGATAGATATAGATAGCGTTTTTCTTAGTTAAATAAGAGGGGAGGAAATTCAATATATTTTTATAATAACAAAATTTTGTGCTTTAATGACGGTTAATTTAATAAATAAAACATTCAGCACAGTTTTTTCGTAAGTTCAAAGTGCGGTTCTCTGATATTATTATTGATTGTTGACAGTTTCTAAATTCATCAATTCATGAAAAATTATATAAATTTTTGTATCTACCTTGCCTGAAATGCCAAAAATATAATATACACATGATTATATAGATTATAGTAAATAATTTAATTGAATTTATGGATTGTTTCTCAAGGGACATATTACTCAAAACCTACCTACAAATTTTATTTGACTATACCTTGGGATATACCTATAGAATGTATCAACAGCAATTCAAAAGTTCATTGATTCAGTTTTAATAGCCTACAAGAGCAGTACATTAAGATTGTAATCAAATAAAAATGTAATTATTCAAAATTCAATCACTCAATAATGTATATAAATTTAAATACCTGTATTGCCCCTTAAGTTATGTAACCAACAATTCAATGCGAAATTTAAAAAAAATCAGCATGAAAGTCCACCAAAGGTTCTGTACTTCTTTGAAAAAAAACGTTAAATTATCAATTAACTACTTATATATTTTTTAACTATTTAATCAAGGGTATTTCTATATAATTGTTTCAGGAATAATAATTTCATTCTTCAGGAATACAGGGAGGTAAAATAAAAAAGGTATAAGTACATTTTTTGTTGATTGTAGTAATTTCTATTTTTTTCCGAATTGGAATGAAACATTTTTTTTCTATAATTTTTAGTTAATTTGCCCATTGTTAAATTTTTAAACAATTTTATTAGAGTTCAACGTTGATTTCCTTTAGGTACAATAACTTAAATTGCACATCAAACATCTCATTTTTTTTCAGATAGAACGGGGATTTTTGGCTCTTTAGCATATTTGGAAAAAGTTTTTTTACGAATAATTTGGTACCACACACTTGGCATTTTCAATGGCAAGAGTCAAATTGACGTTATTAACCGTATGTTATAATTTCAAATAAAACTATATGCGAAAATGTCAAGAGTTGACATATGATATGTCATTTCAGAGTAAAGGAAAAAAATACCGAGTGTGTCATTTAAAAATCAGAAGTTATAGTCATTTCCGGTGAAACAGGAAGTGACCGAAAACAATTGAATACGTCAATCAATCCTGATTTATGTATCATATACTAATGTACCAAATCTCGTTTTTTTATCTGAAAAAATAAAAAAGTTATAGGGGGTGAGCCACATTTAAGAAACACCCGGTATATGATATACACTTTGATCTAGATAGTAGGTACCTAAAGTTCCATGCAAATAATAGTGAGTTGACTGGCTGTGTAATGTATAGGCTGTGATTGGAAAGAACAATTAAAGCAACAATTCCTCTGCTCTATTTTTTATACATATATATGTGATGCACCCTGTATACCACCTGCTATTCGACTTTCCTAATCCCAATTTCATCGAAACTGAATACTGAATTAATTAGATATAAAAATTGTATAACTGTGGAGTTAATAATGTAATTTCTGTTTCAGATTATATCAGAAAAATCACTACGTAACAAGGCTGTGCCCATGTGATCGCAGTGTGACGCTCAAGTGAAAGAAAAAAACGCGAATTTTTCAGTATTACTAGATCCAAAGAGAAAAACCAACTTAAGTTTAGAAGTGAAAAATTAGAAAATTACAGTAGTAAAGTGGAAAGATTTTTTTTGTCTACCTCATCAAGTCACAGGTAATAATCTTAGACCATGTTATACCTCTAGACACGCTCTTTCATTCGCATTTTGTAGCCAACATAATGTCTAATTTACTTAAAAGAAAAATTGAAAAATATTCTTTTATCGTTTTTAATGGAGTTTTTTAAGATTATTTAATTCCATGCCAAAATAAAATATAAATAATCTTAGACCATGTTATACCTCTAGACACGCTCTTTCATTCGCATTTTGTAGCCAACATAATGTCTAATTTACTTAAAAGAAAAATTGAAAAATATTCTTTTATCGTTTTTCATTGAGTTTTTTAAGATTATTTAATTCCATGCCAAAATAAAATATAAATAATCTTAGACCATGTTATACCTCTAGACACGCTCTTTCATTCGCATTTTCTAGCCAACATAATGTCTAATTTACTTAAAAGAAAAATTGAAAAATATTCTTTTATCGTTTTTAATGGAGTTTTTTAAGATTATTTAATTCCATGCCAAAATAAAATATAAATAATCTTAGACCATGTTATACCTCTAGACACGCTTTCTCATTCGCATTTTGTAGCCAACATAATGTCTAATTTACTTAAAAGAAAAATTGAAAAATATTCTTTTATCGTTTTTAATGGAGTTTTTTAAGATTATTTAATTCCATGCCAAAATAAAATATAAATAATCTTAGACCATGTTATACCTCTAGACACGCTCTTTCATTCGCATTTTGTAGCCAACATAATGTCTAATTTACTTAAAAGAAAAATTGAAAAATATTCTTTTATTGTTTATTGTTTTTAATGGAGTTTTTTAAGATTATTTAATTCCATGCCAAACTTTGTAAAATATACAGGGTCCGGCAATAGTGTGTAGCTCCTAGAATAAAAAACTTGGGAATTTTGTTTAAGTGCAAACCTCAAGTATGTACTAGGATGTATTTCAAGAAAATATTTAACTTCTATAGGGTGGCTCAAAAAGAGTGAGTGGATCGGGATATTTTTTTAAAATGGAACACCCTGTATATTATTGCATTTTTGGCTTTCTTTCAGATCACTTTATATAATCCTAAGATATGAGTAAATAGATTTCGATAATTTCAGAGATATTAATAAATAAATTTAAAAAAATATATTTTTTAGCGTTTCTTAAAAAAATTATTAAAAAATGAAATCAAAACTATATTAGGTATTTACATTAGATGGTCTGTACTCACTATAATATAAATATGGTAATCGTAAATCATACAGGATGTCCAAAATTCTACGCCAAACTTTCTAAAATATAAAATAATTTATCCTCGTTTTTTTTAATGGAATACCCTATATATTAATTTTGCACTAGATGAAGAAGTAGAAAATGAATATTTTTTGTATTTAGAGTATTTCGAATTTTTTAACAGTTTTGTAGATATTCGCTGTTTTACATTTCATAATATATGGCATTTTCCACAGTAAATTTTTGTCAAAGCCACCCCATGACTTTTCTTTCGTATTTTACCGTTGAAAGAGCCGTATGGAATAATACTGCGCATTTTCATTTTTTAACTCTCCCATCTAATAAAAAAATATATAGGGTGTTCCATTTAAAAAAACAAAGAAATATTATTTTACAATTTAGAAAGTTTGGCATAGAATTTTGAACACCTTGTATGATTTAAGATTACGATATTTATAGCAAAGTAAGTATAGACCATCTAAAGTCAATACCTATTATAATTTTGATTTCAGGACAGTTCTTGTATTTTTAATAATTTTTTTATGAAAGGCTGATAAATATATATTTTTTATTTATTTATTAATATCTCTAAAATTATCGAAATATATTTACTCATATTCCGGATTATGTAAAGTGATCTGAAAGGAAGCCAAAAATGCAATAATATACAGTGTGTTCCATTTAGAAAAATAATCATCCCGATCCACTCTGTGGACTTAAACAAAATTCCTAAGTTTTTTATTATAGATAGGAGCTACAGATGCCCGATTGACTCACTGTTGTCACAACCTTGTCTCAACTGTATAAATATCCTTTAAGGTAAAACGACATCATCGACATACTAGTCAGTAGACAACGCGCTACCAAGAAGGACAGAAGTACTATAGACACAAGTACCCGTCGTCGACGAAATAAAGGAAAAATCGCAATCAATAGTGAGAGATAGAGAGAAGGGGGTCCCCCCTGAGACACACAGCACCACCGCGACCAGCGAACGGGTGCTTTCTAAAGAAGTTTGGGCGGGCTGCGTGCCAAGAGTCAGTCGGTGCCAAGATGGGTTCTAGATCGATTTTGAACGTGCGGCTTCAGGAAAAGCTCGGCGCCTGGCTGTTTTTCGGCGCGCCCGGTATACGTGGAAAGTCGGTGTCGTGCGTCGCGGGGCCGGCGCAGCAACCCCCCACCCTGCCCGCGGGCGCTAGGGGCGGATTTGGACAGATTATACCGAACCTAGGGGTAAGTCTTTAATTTTTATCGTTAGATTTAATTTATTTTTTAAAGTTTCAAAAAAAGTCATACTATACTAGAAATTCATTTGCCTAGTGGTAGTTATAAAAGCATTTTGTAAACCGCGGGCGCTAGGGGCGGATTTGGACAGATTATACCGAACCTAGGGGTAAGTCTTTAATTTTTATCGTTAGATTGAATTTATTTTTTAAAGTTTCAAAAAAAGTCATACTATACTAGAAATTCATTTACCCAGTAGTAGTTATAAACAGCATTTTTGGTAAATTCTGTCTCAAATAGTTTTTGAACAAGGAACAAAAAATAAAATTGAAAATTTTTCAATATCTGTTCCAAAAAAAACAGCATAAATGTACAGGGTGGATCAAATCGGACGCTTTTAAATGGAAACACCCTTTTCTATAGCAGATAGACGAAAACTAATATTGGTGTCTGGAGCTCAATTTTTATCAAAAACATATGGTGGTGAAAATCGCACATCGATATCTGTTACGGGGTGTTTTTCAAAAATGTGCATTTTTACAAAATCGATGTAACTTTTTTGCTATGGAAAATTTGTATTTTTATAAAAACATTTCCAAAGCACCTTTTTACGTAGAATTTAATGGTTTAAGTATATTTTTTTAAAAATTAATAATTTAAGAATTGTCGACAGAAAATTTGATTTTTTATATGGGACACCCTGTATATTCTTAATTCATTGAAAATAATTTAAAATTACCTTTCCAAAAATATAGCATACTTGATATTTTGCGGGATTCCTCTTCGAGATACAGAGTTTTTAAAAATTCGCCCACTTTGAATGATCTAGCTGATGTTCTTTGATGAATTCTAGCTGTGAGCAGCAATTAAAACGAAAATAATATTTGCAATGAGAGATGAAGAATTTTATAACAATTTAAACTATATTTAACAACATCAACATATTTAAACTATATATCTAATAACAATAAAAATTAATTGCAAACCCAGACATGAGATTTTGCTACAGGTGTTCGACATATCGACCGTCTTCTGTTATGGACAGACGGGGCCGTTTTTGAACATTTCTCGCGGAATTCATTAACTCAGTGGGGGTGAAAGATACCCTCTCATAACTGAAGTATTTCTAATTCTTGTCTAGATTATTCGGGCAATTTAAAAATAAGAACCTTTATTCTTCCGCAAATATATCCATAGAATTAGATCCATAGGCACTAAGCCCGGTGGTATCGATGGCCAACGGCTTGGATTTTGGTTAGATAGATTCTCGAAATTGGCTGCAAAAATTTGCTGATAACTTCAGCGTTCTGAGACGGTGCCTCGTTTTGCTGGAAGAATATGTTTTCAAGTTCCATTAGGGGCAGATCATCAATAAGGGGTCCAAAGCCTAACAGTTAAAAGTGGCGAACTTCAAAATTCTGTATTTCAAAGGAGACTATAACAAAATATCAAGTGTGCTATATTTTTGGAAAGGTAATTTTAAGATCTTTTCACTTAATTAAAAATTTACAGGGTGTCCCATATAAAAAATCATTTTTTCTGTTGATAAAGCTTAAGTTATTAATTTTAAAAAATATATACTTAAACCATTAAATTCTACGTAAAAAGGATGACCCATTTTTGCGTGTTTTATAGGGCCTACATGGGTAGACATAAAAGTCAGCTTTCGAAAAACGACTTAAAATGACTTAAGTCATTAAAATGATTTAAATCAAAAAAAGACATAAGTTTTCTATGAGCTTGGAGCCCTGGTACTACTTTGTAATTTTGGTACTCCATCTTTCGTTATTATCTTAAAAATAAATTCAATTTTACCAATTGAACGAAACCACCATTATTTGTAGTCTATTCGGGATAACCGAAATACATTTTTTTATATTCGCTCTGTATATAAATATTATACGACCTAATTATAGAATAACTGGTCAACTATAGCTTCGCTATTAAATAATAATATTTCGACATTTGTGTTTCTTATTCGCATATATATTTGATAATTATGTATAATTAACAACTACAAATGGTTGTGTAACTGGCTTTAGACACTAAAGGCTTGGACTTTAGTGTTAAATACGAATTAAGTGAGGTTCATAATATATGTAATTACAGGTGATTTAAAAAAGTATTATATATTTAAGAATGTTTGCTTTTATGTCTCAATATGTAGGGGATATATTTTGAGGTAACATGATTTTTTTGTTTTAATGCTTAGATTGTCTAAGTGGTCCTCTTCTGGTCTAAGGTTTTCATAACTAGGAGACTCAAGACTCAATACTCATTATACTGAGCGTCTTAGTTCTTTGTCAAAGCACTAAGATACTGCAGTATAATGATACTATCATGATTTTTCTTATTTTATGTTGTTCAGAATTACAAATATTTGTGTTTTGTTCTTGGATTAATAATATTAAATATACCTTTAATTAAATTATAACTCTATGTTTATATTGCCTACATATCTTAATCTGATCATTGAGAACTTTATTTATATTTTGGCATACGCCTGGTATTATTTTTGAAATGCTTTGCTTGGAAACTTTGAATCAATAACCCAAACTGGTATGAGAGTCTCTAGTTGCAATGAATCTTAATGTTATGGCCAATTTTTATTTAACTTTTTCTTTAACCGGAATACTCTTCCTAAAAGTTATTAAGTCTTATATTACAGTTGGGAGTTGGAACCTTTGGTGTTACACAACAAAATAAAACACTAAATCACCACAACACACCAAAACACTTTTACTTTTACACTGGACGCGCGTTTCGCTAACCATGTTAGCATCATCAGCAGATGATTAAATCTGAATAGATGATTAAAACAGTTTTAATCATCTGTTGATGATGCTAACATGGTTAGCGAAACACGCGTCCAGTGTGAAAGTAAAAGTGTTTTGGTGTATTGTGGTGATTTACGCAAGCACAATCAGAAGAAAGAGCGCGCGCAGGATCACGCGCAATGTGGACGCACCTTTAGTGGAGTGTTCGGTCCTTTTCTAGCTAGATCGTTTGCTTTTTCATTGCCTACCAGCCACACCCTTGGTAAGAGGACCAAACCAAACCAAATCATAACAAGCAACATTTTTTTTTGGAAAAGTGCGATACATAATTGTATTTGAGAGGTGATAAGCTTCCAAAAAATCAAATTATAGAAAAATTTGACAATGAATGTTTGATGACAATGATTTTACAAATTTCAATATTTTATTGGACATAAAATTGCGAAACTTTGCCATAATCTGACCCTCATTGTATCGAATTTGTTACACTCTGTACCTTAAATCAAACACTAGATAATTAGAGATCTATTTAATGAAATATCCAATTTAATTAATTCGCATTATTAATGTTACTTCTCGAAGATTTAATAATTTTTAATTAATCAAAACGGTTTTAAGCGATAAATTGGTGAAATGCCGTTATGTTCCTCTTATTTACTAGTAAATTGCACGCTTGACCTTGAAACGAGATGAAAACTCGCACTTTCGAAGCAACAAAAAATATGAAAGCGAATTTCTTTTCTTATGTGGCCACTGCACACACGTACGAGGGTTAATCGGAAAATGATAGTGGTTGTTTACAATAATTTACAGGCTTTTAAGAGTCTATTACGCTGTACTGTTCAGGTCGCTCTGAGGGGTCGGGTAAAGCGGGTGTGTGGCCGAAGGAAATATATATATTGTATTTCAGAAAAATCTGCCTAAGACTTAGCCCGATCCTGTCGTGTTAAGCCACACCCAAAATTCCAAACACACGTGCTTTGATTAAGGTTTGCAGAGCTTCAGCATTTGCCATAAAAGAGCGAGCATTTTGTTACAAAACCATATAAATTATATATCACTATAATCACAAAACTTCAATCTATTTCCGTATTGTAACGGAATTTTAAATTACGTCTTTATTTTCGAGAAAATTTAGTCCAAACCACGTTTGACCTTCAACATTTTAAAAATAAAGAAGCTATCGAAAAATGTGCTACAATACGGATATAGTATAATCCTTTATCTTTAATTTCCTTTTTCATTTGTATAAAAATACCTAGCCAGTTTTTAGGGTTGTGCCACTTGAAAATTTCAAATGAAATTTTCATGTCGGCAACTTTTCCAATGTGAAATTTTCACTATTTTAAAAAAGTGAAATTTCATTGAAATTTCAAGTGAAAGTTTCAATTCGGATTTTTCAGCATAGAGGTGAAATTTTCAGAAATGTATCGTGAAATTTCAACTTACAGGTGAAATTTCAAGTGAAATTTTCATAAACCTCGCGAACTCCTTTATCGTGTTCGTATGTTGACCGTATCGACGTAGGTATCGATCGTTGATTTGCTCGATTTGGTTGCGCGTCTGTAGAGGACCGGCGCTTGATCTTGACAAATGAAAACCGCAGTAGATAGATAGAGGTTATGATTTTCGTTGAAAATGTTGATGTATTATTAGATTTGTTATTTTTGTGTTTCAGATTACATAAAGTTTATTCTGAGACCGGTTTACCTACCTGTGACCTGTGTTCTGTGTTGATTGCAATTTTTAAAGAAATAATGGTTAAGCTCAAAAATAGTACATATTTGGAAATATTTTTTCTCTAATGATCAAAATAATACCAAAAAAGTAAAGTGTATATTTTGTAATGAAATTCATTACCAATTCAACTCATCAAATTTCATAATTTTTATGAAATTTCAGTGAAATTTCCAAGGTGAGATATTTAATTGTCAATATCTCAGGAAATTTATCAAATTTTCACTAAAAATTTGAAATTTTGAAATTTTCACTGAAATTTCGAAAATTTCAATCTTTCAGTGAAGATTTCATTATGAAATTTCAATATAAGGTGAAAAATGAAATTTACCCATCCCTACCAGTTTTACATAAAACGGTAAATGCCGAACGCATATTTTGCTACTTTTTCGTACTAGTGAAATGGACTTGGTGAAATTTCAAGTGAAATTTTCATAAACCTCGCGAACTCCTTTATCGTGTTCGTATGTTGACCGTATCGACGTAGGTATCGAT